CCCACAGTATCTCTAGATGAGTTATGACGGAAGGAAGCCAAAAGTTTTTCCCATAAACAACTGATGTGATAAGAAAATAAAATAAATTGAAGTTCACACATTATCGACATTCACTGAAGGAAGAAGAGCTGAGAAACGACAGAGAACAGTACAATAATGAAAGGTGGTGTTTGATTGTTTAACAGTTTCTGTAGTAACATAATATCATTGTATTTACAATAAAATTAGCCCTTGAAATCAACCTGTATTTAACAAGGTAAACCTAAATCACTTTTCAGAATTACAATTTTTTTCAGCTGAGATTTCTGTTCAGTGGTCAATGACGTCAGGTTTCCAGCAGAAAAAAAAAAAGAAAAATTCGCAAAAATAACAACAACCTAAAAAAGTATGGCTCAGACAGTTCCATTTTTAGAAGATTCTCATGAAATGACAATAATAATTATATTAAAAACCGTTAGAGCACTCACAGAAACTTTGTCTAATTAGCGATTTGATACTTAGAGAATAATACATGGGTGCGTGTAGACATGAAATTTCTCTTCGAGTGGTTAACCCTTTACTCCCTAACATCAGTATGCATATTCTCCATACCTCACCCTAGACATTTCTTAAGGTTCTGACAAGGAGAATTTGTTCAATAATCAAGAGATTCTTTAGTTGGTGATCATCTCCTTTATTCTCATGACCTTAATGTTTGATTCAAGGGTGATATTGTGAGGAGAAATCAGATGTTAGTCAGTCTTAGGGACTAAAGGGTTAAGTCGAACGAGTGAGATGTCGAGATGTCGAGACGTCGAGTTAAACACGAGAAGAGAAATTTCATATCCACAAGCAGCCATGTATTATTCTGTTTATCATATAAACACAATAGCCCTCTACTGACAGGAAAAGTCGGCTTTATTTTAATAAAGTCGACTCTTCTTGTCAGTAAAGAAAAATAAACGAAAATAAAAGGATCGACATTCCCCGAATAAAAATCGTAAAGTGAGTTAGTGCACTCAAGATGAAAACATGCGCAAAACATGATGAATCTCAATATCCTGGAATTGTGGAAGCATCTCTCCTAAAATAGCCCTTTCAATGAGGTACATGATTGATCTGCTTGCGCAACTTCTTACAATGATCTCTGTCAATAAAAACACTGTTTGCTTTCACTTCAATATCTTCAGTTTTTCCCGCAGTCACTCAGTGTTGGTAGAGATCTCAAATACTTCCTCTATCAGCCGATACTTTGCACGGTCTCGGTAAAGCTCTACGTTTGGCCTAAAGGTTCTGTTCTCCAGTCGCGTCTGAGAAACCATCGTTGAAGCCTCCAAATCAGCAAAGTAGCTCTTTTGATCGTTTGAATGTTTTGCAACGAGGGTGGGGTTAGAGGGGGAAGGGAATTCGCGCGTCAAGTGTACTTTAAACAGTATTTCCCCCGTCACGAACTTAAAAGGAATAACTTTAAATCTCACTTTAACTTGCCCTGCTCTAAAAATTTGCACGTCACGTATTTATTTTGGGCTTTTTTACGCGTCACGTATAGACCCTTTACCACCCTCTTGCTTTACTATGCTCATATTCTCTCGTATCGAACTAAGACTCGTGCACAAGTAATGGGGTAGGTAGAGGTGGGTTCTGAATCTGTGGTCTTACTCCTTCAACATTTAAATTTTACAGAAAGAGAAAGCTTCTTGCGAAAAATCATAGAAAACAATGAAAAAGTTTAGGACATTTCAAGGAAATGGAATATATTTGTAGCAAAAAAATACATTCGAAACCTTAAGATCTTTAAAAGAAACATCCGGAGGCCGAAAAATATTTTTAATCAGTCGTTTGCGCAGATTAAGGTAAATGATTAAATATTTTCAACGCATATCGCAAAGTCGTCGGCTTGCTTTTCCTACAGACAATTGTTACACTTTCAAAATTTATTTCCTGCCGCCTCATTTAACAAAGATGTAATAACACCGGTTTGTTTAGATTATCCTCCAGGCATCACAAATTTTCTGTAAGCAGACTTGATTAATTTTAGTCATGGAAAAAGACCGCGAATGTCAATGCGATTTTAGTTAAGCAAAGATTTCACAATCGTCATAAATTCACGGTTACTGAGATCATAAAAGCTTCCAATTAAATTACTGAGGTTTTTGTGTTTCCCCTAGCCCCTTGCATTTGCTGCATTGGTATAACTGCAACTAATCAATTTTCCGGCAATAATCGGCTTTTTATCCTACAGTGTGGAATAAGTTGTCACCATTCCTTGGCAATTAGTTGTCGAAGGAAAAACGAATAATTTTAATTTCATATTACCTGGAAAGTTTACATTCTATTTTCACCAGCTGACTGATCTATTTACGATAAGAGTTTGAATTTTCTTAAAGGAAAAGTAAGAAAAACTTTTCATGAAATAGTTTGATCTCAGATACAAAAAAGCATCGGCACAGTCTACTCATTTCAAAAACTTTTCACAGCACTCATCAATTCCACTCAGGATCTTTAAATATATGAAGTTAATATGTACAATTACAACTAATACGTTTATTCACGTGTTTACATTTCCTGCATTTTTGTTACGCTAGTAATCGCAAGGGCTAAAAGAGAAACCAAACTAGACCTTGTGAGCAGGGTAACTGGGATACCTGGACGGTACTGGATCCTTGGAATCAAGTGTAGTTATACTACGGGTGTCGGACTAGTATATTGAAATAGTGCGCTCAAGTCTGGCCAAGGGCATACACCTATTTCAAAAAATAGGCATGCTATGCATGCAAGAAGGTGGAGCTACGCCATTGGTGGGAATATGGTGACGAGAAAACAGGAATAAATTAGTTGAATGAAAAGCGCTCGTTGATTCCGTGGGGATTAAGGGTGCCGATTTGGAATATAAATTTTTGTTCTAGTGTTTTACGGCTTTCCGAACTGACTAGATGTAAGGAAAGGCCGCAAACTGCCATATGCTGTTTAGAATGATTAGGAAGATTAAAGTGTCTAGCGACTGGTTTGGATGCGTCCTTGTCATTTCTTTCCGGCACATCGCGAAGGTGTTCTCGGAATCGGTCACCCAGTCGTCTTCCTGTTTCGCCGATGTATAACTTATTGCAATAAGTGCAAGTTATGCAGTAAATAACATTGGCGGAGATACACGTAAAGTGATCAATGATCTTAATGGATCTTTTGGGTCCCGATATTTTCTCTACGTTATGAATGAAAGGACAAGTTTTGCATCGTGAGCGAGCGCATTTAAAAGTTCCAGATTGGTCATTGGTTTGAAATGAACTCCTGACTAAAAAGTTGCCTATGTTTTTGTCACGTTTGAATGAAATTCACGTTCCTTGCCATCAATTGAATCCAACATGGCGTCTTTCTTCACAAGCAGTTTGCATCCATTATAGTTATGTTCTTCAGTCTCACGGTAGTAGTGTTGTTCAATAGATTACATAGAGTATATGCAGTTTGGTTTCAGATTTCAGATTTTGCTTTTTACAACAAGTGAACGTTTCTCAACTAAGACATTGGCATACTTGGCATACAAGGCATTCAAGGCTTTCATGACTTTCAAGCGTTCGCGACTCAATCTGTTCCAAAATTACCGCTCAATAACATCTTTTAGGGTGGATTAGCCGCGAATAATACGACTTGTATATGCCTCTGTAAGTATTTTGAGCGTTTGCGCCATAATACTCCAGGAGATCGCAATCCAAATACGTTGAAATACAAAACGACCGACAAAAGAGTTTTAAAAGCAAAAGCTCGTGATTCGTCATGTGACCCGGCCCTGTCTGTGCATGACAACGTCAATCATCATCATCAAGATAGCACGCGTGATCAGCATGTGAACACCTCATTGGATCACAGTTAGTTGTCATGGTGTTGAGGGCCCAATGACCACTGGGTACTATTGCGCCATTTTTCCATTTTGTGGCGGAGGACAAAAAAAGACAAAAAAACAAAGGCATTTCATAACTGGGCTACCACAGGGATCCAGTAAAAACGGGAATTGACTTGAAGAAACACGAAGACTGAGTCACGGGAAAACACGAGCAACTCGACTTTTTTTTCATCTGATTGGTTGAGGAGGTGACGCCAGCTTCTTGGCCAATCACAGAAAGGAGCATAGTAAGATTGGATTTTCTTCCACAATCAGACCCAACTGTCTTCGACAATCGAACAAGAGAATATTTTCTTGCAACGAATGATTACTTTTGTTTTTCCAAATTCACGTTGACATTCCCGATGTAATTGTAACCACTTTCAAACTTTTTTATTAAATGATTTAGGAAAATTTCATGATAAATGCCCTCTCCTCTTTCAGAAAAATTTGGATCAGTTAAACCTTCAACACTTGCCTTAGTATATTACAAAATAACTGAGAAGGGACAAGTGTTTTAAAGGAAGACCGATGTACACAAAAGGGTTTACAAACTATTTCGACTATTTCTATTTTCATTCATTGTGCAAAATTTAAAAACTGTCCTAACGAAATATAAGATACTTGACGAAACGGATGAGGCAAAACAGTTTGAAGTACTTCCTCTTAGGAATTCTCCTTTTTTCCAGGGTATCTAATTCTCCAATAAATCAAGTTTTCTTACAAAAATTGATATTATGACTTAGAAGTATCATTTCCAACACTTTTGAGTTTATATTCAAAATTCATAGTTAACTCAGAATATCATACAACCGACTCTGTGAGATATGGTGGACGTCCGTCTAATCTCCCTTTCCCGTTGAACTATCATTAAGTTATTCTGCATGGCTCTCACATCAATATATTCAGGTCCGAGGTTTTTTAGACGAATGCTATATGCATGATCTTGACATTCTTTTGCCTGCTGCAGGTCACCAAGGCCACGGTGCACAGCACCCAGATTATTGTAACTACTCGCCACACGAAGGTGTTCAGGTCCGAGCCTTTTCAGACGAATGGCCAGTGCACGATCATGACATTTCTTTGCCTGCTGCAGGTCACCAAGCTTACAGTGCAAAGTACCAAGATTATTGTAACTACTTGCCACATCGACATGTTCAGGCCCGAGTTTTTTCAGATGAATAGAGAGGGCACGATCGTGACATTCTTTTGCCAGCTGCAATTCACCAAGATGAGAATTCAGAACACCCATATTATTGTAGCTACTTGCCAAATCGACATGTTCAGGTCCGAGCCTTTTCAGTCGAATGGCCAGTGCACGATCATGACATTCTTTTGCCTGTAGCAAGTCACCAAGGTCATGGTACACAGAACCAAGATTATTGTAGCTGCTTGCCACATAGACATGTTCAGGTCCGAGCCTTTTCAGACGAATGGCCAGTGCACGATCATGACATTCTTTTGCCTGTTGCTGGTCTCCAAGATCATGATGCAAAGTACCAAGATTATTGTAGCTGCTTGCCACATCGACATGTTCAGGTCCGAGCCTTTTCAGACGAATGGCCAGTGCACGATCATGACATTCTTTTGCCTGTTGCTGGTCTCCAAGATCATGATGCAAAGTACCAAGATTATTGTAGCTGCTTGCCACATCGACATGTTCAGGTCCGAGCCTTTTCAGACGAATGGCCAGGGCACGATCATGATATTCTTTTGCCTGTTGCTGGTCACCAATATCATGATGCAAAGTACCAAGATTATTGTAACAAACTGCCACATCGACATGTTCAGGTCCGAGCTTTTTCAAATAAATGGTCAGTGCACGATCATGACATTCTTTTGCCTGTTGCAAGTCACCAAGGTCACGGTACACAGAACCAAGATTATTGTAGCTGCTTGCCACATGGACATGTTCAGGTCCGAGCCTTTTCAGACGAATGGCCAGTGCACGATCATGATATTCTTTTGCCTGTTGCTGGTCTCCAAGATCATGATGCAAAGTACCAAGATTATTGTAGCTGCTTGCCACATGGACATGTTCAGGTCCGAGCCTTTTCAGACGAATGGCCAGTGCACGATCATGACATTCTTTTGCCTGTTGCTGGTCTCCAAGATCATGATGCAAAGTACCAAGATTATTGTAGCTGCTTGCCACATCGACATGTTCAGGTCCGAGCCTTTTCAGACGAATGGCCAGGGCACGATCATGATATTCTTTTGCCTGTTGCTGGTCACCAATATCATGATGCAAAGTACCAAGATTATTGTAACAAACTGCCACATCGACATGTTCAGGTCCGAGCTTTTTCAAATAAATGGTCAGTGCACGATCATGACATTCTTTTGCCTGTTGCAAGTCACCAAGGTCACGGTACACAGAACCAAGATTATTGTAGCTGCTTGCCACATGGACATGTTCAGGTCCGAGCCTTTTCAGACGAATGGCCAGTGCACGATCATGACATTCTTTTGCCTGTTGCTGGTCTCCAAGATCATGATGCAAAGTACCAAGATTATTGTAGCTGCTTGCCACATCGACATGTTCAGGTCCGAGCCTTTTCAGACGAATGGCCAGTGCACGATCATGACATTCTTTTGCCTGTTGCAAGTCACCAAGGTCACGGTACACAGAACCAAGATTATTGTAGCTGCTTGCCACATCGACATGTTCAGGTCCGAGCCTTTTCAGACGAATGGCCAGGGCACGATCATGATATTCTTTTGCCTGTTGTTGGTCACCAATATCATGATGCAAAGTACCAAGATTATTGTAACAAACTGCCACATCGACATGTTCAGGTCCGAGCTTTTTCAAATAAATGGTCAGTGCACGATCATGACATTCTTTTGCCTGTTGCAAGTCACCAAGGTCACGGTACACAGAACCAAGATTATTGTAGCTGCTTGCCACATGGACATGTTCAGGTCCGAGCCTTTTCAGACGAATGGCCAGTGCACGATCATGACATTCTTTTGCCTGTTGCTGGTCTCCAAGATCATGATGCAAAGTACCAAGATTATTGTAGCTGCTTGCCACATCGACATGTTCAGGTCCGAGCCTTTTCAGACGAATGGCCAGTGCACGATCATGACATTCTTTTGCCTGTTGCAAGTCACCAAGGTCACGGTACACAGAACCAAGATTATTGTAGCTGCTTGCCACATCGACATGTTCAGGTCCGAGCCTTTTCAGACGAATGGCCAGGGCACGATCATGATATTCTTTTTTGCCTGTTGTTGGTCACCAATATCATGATGCAAAGTACCAAGATTATTGTAACAAACTGCCACATCGACATGTTCAGGTCCGAGCTTTTTCAAATAAATGGTCAGTGCACGATCATGACATTCTTTTGCCTGTTGCAAGTCACCAAGGTCACGGTACACAGAACCAAGATTATTGTAGCTGCTTGCCACATGGACATGTTCAGGTCCGAGCCTTTTCAGAAGAATGGCCAGTGCACGATCATGACATTCTTTTGGCTGTTGCAAGTCACCAAGGTCACGGTACACAGAACCAAGATTATTGTAGCTGCTTGCCACATGGACATGTTCAGGTCCGAGCCTTTTCAGACGAATGGCCAGTGCACGATCATGACATTCTTTTGCCTGTTGCTGGTCACCAATATCATGATGCAAAGTACCAAGATTATTGTAACAAACTGCCACATGGACATGTTCAGGTCCGAGCTTTTTCAAATAAATGGTCAGTGCACGATCATGACATTCTTTTGCCTGTTGCAAGTCACCAAGGTCACGGTACACAGAACCAAGATTATTGTAGCTGCTTGCCACATGGACATGTTCAGGTCCGAGCCTTTTCAGACGAATGGCCAGTGCACGATCATGACATTCTTTTGCCTGTTGCTGGTCACCAATATCATGATGCAAAGTACCAAGATTATTGTAACAAACTGCCACATCGACATGTTCAGGTCCGAGCTTTTTCAAATAAATGGTCAGTGCACGATCAAGACATTCTTTTGCCCGCTGCAGGTCACTAAGATGATGGTGTACAGTACCCAGATCATTGTAACTTTCCGCTACATCGACATGTTCAGGTCCGAGTTTTTTTAGACGAATGGTGAGTGCACAATTTTCACATTCCTTTGCCTGCTGCAGGTCACCAAGGTCAAGATGCACATAACCCAGATCTTTGTAACTAATTGCCACGTCGAGATGCTCAGGTTCGAGCTTTTTCAGACGAATGGTCAGTGCACAATTATGACATTCCTTTGCCTGCTGCAGGTCACCAAGATCATGATGCACAGAACCCAGATTATTGTAACTTTCTGCCATGTCGACATGTTCAGGTCCGAACGTTTTCAGACCAATGGTCAGTGCACGATTATGATATTCTTTTGCCTGCTGCAAGTCACCAAGGGAATGGTGCACAGTACCTATGAAACCGTATGCGTTTATAACGTCTTTGTCACCAAACACCTCGTCACACTGAGTTAATCGCAACATTGTGTTGAAGTACATTAATGCTGATCTGAATTCACAGTGTTTCTTGCAGGTTTTACCAAGGGTTTCGAAATAGTTTCGGTAGTCATAGGGAGTGGATGATCCGGCTTTGATAGCGTCGGATATATCCTCTTCAGAAAATAGAGCATCGATTATCTCACTCAATGTGACTAAGTGAGGAACAATCTTCTTGCTTCTGATAAGAGTATGCGAGTCATCCTCAGCCAGGATATGACCTATAACTTGGCAGAATGACAGAATGGCCCCATCAACGGCTTCAAGCTCTTTGTTTTTGGCCAAGGTTTTCATAACAGTATTGATGACGTCATGAACAATCTGATGCACTCGAATGTAGACGCCACTGTCATCTTCTTCAAATAACAGCAAAGAACATTTGCAAATTCTCGTAGCAAGTATTTCGGGATCTCTACGCTCTTCTTTCACTTTCGTAAGATAATTTACAATAATGTCTAGACTCAAAGGGTGTGGTGCACAGACCGAAAGCAAATGAAAAGAGTGCTCGAAAACTTTATCCGTTGCGATCGCCTTCTTTACAGCAAGTGTTGTAGCTACAGTCATGGAGTTTTTGTAACTTGGGTTACTTCCAGCGAGCATGGCTTCTGTTGTACTTCTCTTACCTTGGTCCAATTTCTTTAGAAAGTCATCCCAGCCAAAATCCGAAGTTAATTTGTTGTTTCTTACTTCTCTCACATAGGTGGCAGCGCTTGCCAGGGCAAGTGGTTGGTAGTCTAATACGTTAGCAACTTCTTTTTCCATTATGGGGTCAGTAAAACCAGAAAGTATTTCTAATAGAGAGCAGGCTTCATGAGGCTCCATACCTTTGCTGACAGGGATATGTTGAATAAATGAGCCTGACGGAGGGATAGACGCTGTGTCCTGTGTTGTTATCAGCAACTGGCCCTTTGCCCACTGTCCATTTCCTGGATCAGGTAAATTACCATCCAGATGAGACAAGTTGGTGACGTTATCAACTATCAGTAGCCACGATGAGTACAGCTCGATTTTCGTGCTGATCAATGTCTTTAAACCTCTGATCTTCTCATCTGTACTCAAATCTTTGGCGTTAAAGGTGTTGGTAACAGCGTATTCTGGGCACTTCAGATGTCGAGCGAAAGTGGCATACGATTCCAAAAGTGTTTTAGAGTTTTCAGCATCCAGTGTCATTACGAACGATGCAGTAGATGTACTTTCCTTGACCTCGTCAAGGAAACGCTTGGCTACGAGTGAGGCCATCTGCGACTTACCACTTCCAGGATTTCCAGATATGAACAAGTAACTTAATTCCATGGACCTTTTTAGCTCTTTTAGCTTTAGTATAATCTCAGATACACGAGAATGTCGAGGTGCGACTTCATGAGAAGGCTTAGGGGGAAGAATGCAAAATGAAGAAGCATCGCTGTTTAACTGTTCTTCAAGGGTCTTTCTTTCTTTCTCTTTTTCCCGAAGTTCCTGTACTATCTCATGTACTTTCTTTTCTTTTTCCTGAATCACTTTTTCTTTTTCTTTAAGATTTTTGTCTTTCTCCCGAATTTCTCTCTTATTCTCCTGAACTTCCTTCTTGAGGTCGTCCACCTTCTTCAAAACATGTCTCAGCTGCTCTGTGGGAAAACTTGTTTGAGTTTTTACGTCTTGAATTTCCACAGTGGAAAGACCGAGCGCTAGAAATGCATTTTCTACTTTGCTAATGGCATTTTGAAACTCTACGTCTGAGAGGTGACCTCGTGCGATATGAGCGAATTCTTCATTCCGAAACAGCCTAAGGTTATCCACATTTGACTTAACTACTGTACTGAGACTATGGATACAATCGGAGAAAAGAATGGCATAAAACAGCATGGTACAATCCCACTCAGCTCTATTGCCTTTAGTCATGGTTGTTAATAGACGTGCATGCTTCTTTTGGTTCCGTAATGATTCGCCATTCCCGAAGTCCAATCCATTTTTGGGATCATCTTTCCATTCTCCTAACGTGGTCTTGTAACGATAATCCCATTCTTGTTTGAAGATTTCTCGCAGTCCCTCGGTCAAAATTTCAGTGGTAACGTAACAAATCCTGAAGTAGTTTAGTTGCTCTTCACTGTATTTTACCGAAGAGGCCATACTCACTTCGAACGATTTCTCAGTTAAGTTCGGTGACTGTCCTTTGAAAAAAGAGAACGAAATTTTAAAAATTTCTGAGCAGAAAAGTTGCTCAGTAGCCCTTTGAGTTGTTTTGTCTTAGACTGTGCTAAATAAGTTGAGTACTCTCGCCTTTTATAGTATGAGGGTAGGTGTTATGGTTAAATTTACAGCAGTGATGCTCACTCTTAGTACGTGACTTAAGTCCGAACAATGGGAGTTACCAAGTTATACCATATCACTTGTCAAGTTCGAGTCAAATTGATTTTTTTCTTCTTTTGATTTTAGGTTTCTTTTTTCTATGTCGAAATGAGGCATCAGGGATACAAGAACACCTAGTTTTAAGCTTAAAACTTTTAATTTTTTGACAGCCGTTTGCAAGGGTTAATCTTTTACTGGTTCATAGCTGCAATCAAAGAAGTAAAAATTCCTAGGCATCTACGAGTTGTTCTTACTGATTCCATCTCTTTTAACTACACACACCTCAGGCATAACGATACTTCAACGACAAACTGTCTAAACTGTCTAAACTGACTAAACTGACTCGGAGTACGAAAACGAACCTCAACATTTCTCACACTCGATCGCCATTTTGTTTCATCCACAATGATCTCATTGAAAAACAGCACTACAAATTCTCTCCCTCCCAAGTCGAAATTATCGAGAACACATATAATTCCCTCTGAAACGTTTGTTTCACCAGAATGATCTTGTCCTACTTTTCTTCAGCCTACAGGCTTCACTTTTCAAGATTTTGGAAGCATCACAAAGTTGTCGAGACATCATTACATAATGTGCGGAATATATAAGGCATGATATATTCTGCGAAAAAAGACGTTGAAAATAACAAAGTCCATTTTTTTCGTAGTGAGCATCAAATGTGGTTGTCACTAGGGTTCTAACATGTCTTATCGGACAATAACAGCCTTTGGTATATTTTGTAACCTTCGCGACAATTTCGTAACATGGTAAAACCGCTGAAGTAACAATTGATGATGCAGGAATTTAGACAAATTTGACCTGAGTAAACAACCTACTAAATGCACAACTTTAATTTTTGTTTGTTTTGTTTAGCTTTTCTTTTTTAAAAGCTTCAATAAGAGTGTGTTTTCTATCGATACGATTTTATAAAAGGGGAGGAAAATTAAGTTGACTCAAACTTGGCTTGGGCTTGCACTTGACTCGTTATACGGTATAAATCGGAGTTACCACATATATAAGCACATTTGACGAAGGCTCATTGCTAGATTTTGCAGAATTTAGGCCTACGTTTTTGCCTCACTCGTACTTGAGGTATGAAAGGTTGTTTTTCGTGATTATGGGGAGATCAGATACTCCTAAGAACTGCCTCACTCACCTCTCCCCTTTGCTCACCTTGAACCTTTGATAAAAATTATCACTCTGAATAAGACGTCCGTTTCTTTAATTTCTCATTAGAAGTTGTATGGGTTCTTCTGCAAAAAAACAATCAGAGGCAAAGCAAAAGAAAACTTAACAATGGATGGGCTGATATGCAATTATAAGTGGCGAGATTGTACAAGAGTGAAATAAGCCCATTCTAAAGGAAAAGGCTGCAGGGCAGAATGCAGATCATATCAAAGGACGGGCTAATTTCAATGCCGATCAAAATGCATATTCGGGGAGGGCTACCCGGTAACCGACACTGGAGAATTTGGGCTTGCTCCAAACAGTCATACCTAGTTGCTGCGCGGTTACTATGCCATAGTAAGGGCGGTGTTGGGATAGATAAGCGGAAATACGTATTTCTGATTTTAAGTCAACTAAAAAATCCATTGAAGTCCCGCATACAATGTGTTAAAATCCTTTTAATTTCCATAAAGAGACTATCTAGGTTTAATATCATACTGTTATCATCTAGCTTTGCGAGTATCATTTCCGGCACAAAGTTTAAAGGGGAGAAGTTTTTGCTGGCCTCTGCCGTTACATGTACGTTTTAATAGTGGTTGCGACAAGCACAAAAAGTGTCGGGGTAGTTAAGCACATTTAACTGATAATTTACGGTACGGGTTTAACGAGTGAAAATGCACGGGCATGGTTGAATTCAGAAGATAAACACTCGTTTACTATCAGTAGATAAGTAGATAAGAAATAAATATTGTTAATTTTGTTATTTTTTTAATGGAATATGGAGGGTTTTACGTCGCTTTGAGGAGGATAAAGGCGTAATGAGAACAATAACCAAAAACATAGACTCAACCGGAATACTTAGTAAAGAAATAGACAAGTTAATCAAATTTACATAATAGAATTCACCCTGGGATGAATTTCGTGTTCGAGAATATTCCAAGTCTTCACTCGGAACTCTTCTTCCACATTCGAGAAATGTTTAGAGATTTATCCTTTCATTTTTTTTCTTAACCGACACCAGTGAGCGGCCCAAAGGAAGACTTCTTGCTGTTGTAACTTTTTGTATAATTTTTCCGTTGCGTTTCGTCTCTAGCTCAGACTTTTTCACGGATGATTACAACTAACATTGAACACCATTTACAGCGCATTCGTGTGCCTAAGTTTGACTTCTAGTGGAAGTGAATAATAACAGAAACATGCTGTAAACCGAGATTACAGGAATATTGAGTAACAGAACATCAATTACCAAGCATCGTGCAACGTTTAAGTCTTGGTATTGTAACTTCATCACTTCCGCAAAGCTTGCAAAAGATGTGTAAACAACTGTGAATGTTAGAGAAAGATGTTTTTCGTCTTGTCACGAGCGTAAGACAAAGAAAAAATTCTGAGTCCCCATAAGGATCGACTCAGACCTTCGGATTCCGCGCTCTCATGCTCTATAAACGGTGAGCGAGGACTGTTACGAAGCTCATATGACACACGTCCTGCATAATGCTAGGATCAGCAATTTCGATGGCGTCATATTTTGTAAATAGAATAAGAGAGATATGAATGTTATTTCAGCAAAATAACGTGAATCAATGATGTTTATCTTACTTACTTGTCGAAATATTCCAGAGATGTACAGCAAAGTCGTAATACTTTCACTACAGTAAAGAATAAATGTTCCTTTCCTTAGTCATCCACAATCGCAATCGAAAGCGAAAGATGCTCAAGTCATATGACGTATGATTACGAATGAGCTGCCAGTAATCAGATCGCTGTGTTTGCGCAAAGATTTCTGGGATCGCAACAGGGCAAACATTGCAACTCGCTTAAAAGAAATGTATGACGAAAGGTTGTTTCCATGTCCAAAAAACGATTTTGGAGAAAGATTATCGCCTTTTTCGACGCTGTTTTATCATAAATGGATTTGGGAATGTTGATACAAGGGAAGTGTAACTTTTTGTCAAGACAACCTTGAAATATGTGGTAAGAAAAACCGATCAACATTTCCCTATGCGCAAAGTTTAATGTGAACCTGACTTCGCTAAATTGTCTCGATATTTGGAAATATTAGTTATAAATTGCCAAGAAATAAATCAATAAACCTTTCAGCCTTTCTAACGTGTGTAAGGTCTACTTCAAGCTTTTTTCTTGGCTTGGTAATAAAAAGAGCGCCACAACAGCTACCTCGAGACAGCAGGAGGTTGAAATGGTGTGCTTGAGCACTTAGGAATATATATAACGGCGTAATATGTGACTAACCATCCCATGATCTTGCTTTTTCTCACAAGATCCTCCAAAGAGGTCGATGAGAAAAGTGGCAGCTCAAAAACCTTTGGATTATTCTCAAACAAAGCATCACTTGACCTAGGGATTTCCTCATGTTTTTCACCGCTCATTTCATCTTTCCGAAGAGCAACAGCTCGGTAATACAATTTCCGTCGCCGTTGACAACGACTTCTCTCCTTTGAGGAGATATATTTTCAGATGTAGTAATTTGTTTATTTGAAACGTTAACAAGTATGAAAATAGGCTGTACGTACATATTACAACTGAAAAGACATGAATGAGTCATTTCCTAACGATTTGTGGCTAATTTTGTGAAATGTCGCGACCATTACACGATGACGATTTCACAATAAACCTAAGGCAAGAGACGTTTATCGGTATATTTCGTGTATATTTCGTGTAACATATCGGTATATTTCGTGTAACATATTCCATGGAAATAGAAACAAAAACTTACAATTCCCTCGAATTAACATTATCTTTAACCATTTATGGTAAAACCGCGGCGAAAAAGCATTGACCTCTCTCTAAAATCGGTTTTTTGGACGTCGAACAACCTTTCGCAGCTTGCAATGTTTGCCCCGTTTCGATCCAAGAAATTTTTGGGCAAACGCAAGGATCCGATTACTGGCAACTCATTCATTGAAAGCCTATTCTAAATGTGCGTTGAATTGTTTATAATTAAAACTTATCAAAAGCTTGTGAAAGCTCGTTTTCAAAGTGAACCATAACATTTAAAACAAAGTATGCGTGATCCAAGTATGCGTGACTTAAAAAAAAGAATTTAAAGGCTCACGCGATTTCCTGTGGACACGCAAAGTTCTGTTGCGTGACGATGTCGAACATTCTTCGAGAAAAAACGTTGAAACAACTAGAGTCAGTGCGAGACAAAAGCGAAGAGGTGAAAAGACACGAGTGAAAGAATGTGCAAAGCCTTATCGTAACAGTCCTGTGCTTGTTGTAGTCCACCCATGTCATGACGAAAATCACCCGGTTTGTTGTAGATAGTTGCGACATCAACTTGCGGAGGACTCTCTCTTTTGAGACGAATGTCGAGTGCCTGCTCATTGCACTCTTGGCTTGTTCAGGGTCACCGATCGCTTTGTGAGTACAACCCAGGTTATGATAGGTAGTTGTCAATTAAACATTCTCCTGTCCGAGTTGTTCCGTTAGAATGGTGATAGCACGATCATGACGGCTCCGCCGCTTCCTGCAAATCACCTAGGTCGCGATATACAAGACTTAAATCATTGTAGGTTGTTGCCACATCAACATGATCAGGTCCGAGCTTTTCCAGACGACTCGCCAATGTACCGTTTTAACATTCTCTAGCACGCTGA